GGACATGCAGCAGCTGACGCTGACGCTGCTGGGCCACATCCTGCCCAACCTGCTGACGGACTCCTCCAAGTGGCACACCCTCATGGACCCCCCCGGGAAGGCCCTGGCCAAGTAAGACCCCAGACCCACGGGAGACTGTGTCCCTGGGGGAACCTGGCTGGAGAGGTGGGGAGATGGTCTGTGCTGGGATGGAGGTCCCAGACACCCAAATTCCTCCCTGGCCCCGACCCAGTGCTGACAGTTTCCACTCTGGGTCCCATTCCCTGCTGTCCCCCTCCGAAGAGGGACCTGCTGTGTCCCATCCCTGGGCTCACACCTCATCCTCAGGTGGGCTGGCAGCACCTGGCTGTGTCCCTGCTCTGTCCCCAGGCTCTCTGTGTGGTGTGCCCTGAGCTCCTACTCCTCCCACAACAAGGGCCAGGCCTCGGCCCGGCAGAAGAAGCGGCACCGAGAGGACATTGAGGTGTGTCTGGTGTGGAGCAGGGGTTGGATGGGGGCTCTTCGTGCCCAAAAGCAGCAGTGTCTGGGCGAGGGAAGGGTGGCAAGAGAGACCAGGCTCCCTGCCCAGCTTCTCTGGGCTCTCTGAGGTCTTCTGACCTTAAAATCCAGAGTTTTCCATTCTCTTTCCTGGGGAAGGGACCATAATGAGCTGCTCTGGATGTGTCCTGCCCAGTTTGGGATGCTATGGGGGAACAGATATCATAGCTCTGGGCCCAGGGTGGGCCAGAACACCCCCCTCAGCGAGGGGCTGGTGGGGCTGAACCCCTCTTTCTTTCCCCCAGGATTACATCAGCCTGTTCCCGCTGGATGACACGCAGCCCTCCAAGCTCATGCGCCTGCTGAGCTCCAACGAGGAGGATTCCAACATCCTCTCCAGCCCCAGTAAGTGTGGGGAAGGGGTGGAGGTGGCTCCCAGGGGGGCACCATCCTGTCTTGCAGTTCTGCTTGGGTGTGAAAGGGGAATTTGCACAAAAATCCTTCCCTTCCCAAACCGGCTGGGTAAGGATTTAGGCCTCTCAAGTGTTATTTCAGTTATCCTGCAAAAGGGAGAGACCAAACTTTATTTCTGTGATCAGAACAACTTCCAGGGGTGAGGTTACACCTTCTCTCCCTTCTGGTGACCCCCAATCCATCACTCCACACCTGAGGGGCCCAAGGGGGCTTTGAGAGCTGTGTCCCCCCAACCACCCTTACTGGTGAGCTGGAGGTGACATTCCTGATGTCTGAAGCCAAATCCTGACATTCCAGTGCTGTGAACAAGGCTGGGGCAGAGCCTTGGGACACATCCGTGTCCTTGTGGTGTCACAGGTTGCGACAGCTCCGGTGGGACACACAGGGGGATCCAAGTCCTGCCTGGCAGGGGCTGTCACAGCTCCCACATGCATTGTCCACACTCCTGGGCAGTGAGTCAGGACCTTCCCTGCTCATTGTTTCTCCCCTTATCCCAAATGCGCTCTTGAGTTATTAGGTTTTGACACATCCATTGACCTCTGGTTTTGTTGCTGTCGAAATATGGGCTTTTCCCTTTATTTCACTTATCTTTTTATAACTCCTGAGGCAGTCCCACCTCTTCCCAGCGACATTCAGGACTTTTTTGGGCTGTTTTCTGCAGCGATGTGGAAACGCTGCTTCCTGCGGCGGCCACGTAACTCATGTGATTCCATGAGAAAAGTGTGGGAGGGCTTTCTTTTTTTGGTGAGCATCCTCAAGAGCAGCACAAGGTGGGTCCTGCTGATTTGGGCAGGAGCTGAGGACCATGGGGTCTGCACAAGGGCCTTCCCAGGGCATTCCCATCCTGTTGGAGCAGAACTGGCCCAGTTCCTCCTGCAGAAGCGCCCAGTTGGGGTCAGCTCAACCCCCCTGGTCTGTCTCAGGATTTGCTGCTAGATTTGGACGTACCTCAGCTCTGGTAGCTGGACTGCACCCTGACAGTGAGATTGGAGAGCTGCTGTGCAGCTGTTGAACATCTGGCTCTCACACAGGATGTGTAACGTGTGTGTTGCTGCTGTTCCTCTCTCCCCATTGTGACATCCCCTGAGAGCAGCATGGGGATCATCCCCCAGGCTCTGGGCTCCGTGTGGGCTGCCAGGGGGACGTGGCACAGACTGTGCTCTGTTTCTGGGGTGCCCCAGTGGCACAGGCTCAGTTGGGGGACGGGGGGCCCAAACCTCTCCCGCTCCACGGGGTCACTCGTGGCAAAGCCCCTCCTGGACTGGGTCACCCTGAGTGGCCAGAGCTGGCCAGGGTGGGCACACTGGCACAGCCACGAGGCTGTTCCTGACTCTTGTTCTGCCCACAGATCGCTCCATGAGCAGCTCACTCTCTGCTTCCCAGCTCCACACTGTCAGCATGAGGGACCCGCTCAACCGTGTGCTGGGTAAGGCAGGGGCGGGTCTGTGGGGTCACATCCAGCCAGACTGGGGCACCAGTGGGAAATTTGGGCCACCCCCAACCCCCCAGAACTGACCTCTCCCTGTCCCCACAGCAAACCTCTTCCTGCTCATCTCTTCCATCCTGGGGGCCAAGACAGCCGGCACCCACACCCAGTTTGTCCAGTGGTTCATGGAGGAGTGTGTGGAGTGCCTGGAGCAGGGCAGCCGTGGGAGCATCCTCCAGTTCATGCCCTTCACCATGGTGAGCCCTGTGTCTGTGACACCCCTGTCCCTGCTCGGGGGTGTGCTGGGGTTCCTCGGGACAGGGGCACATCTGGGGGTTCCTGCTGCCTGTCTCGCCTGTCTCCATCTCTGGGGACACTCACTGTGCTTCTCCTGTGCCCCTGGGCAGGTTTCAGAGCTGGTGAAGGTGTCCACCATGTCCAGCCCCAAAATCGTGCTGGCCATCACTGACCTCAGCCTGCCCCTGGGGCGCCGCGTTGCTGCCAAGGCCATCGCTGCGCTCTGAGGGGGCACTTCCCTGAGCATCCCGGGCACCTCCCTGCCCACCTGCATGCCTGGGATGGCCTCTGTCACTGCAGCTTGGCCTTGCCCTGCCCAGGGGCTGCTCCCTCAGTGCCCAGAGCCATCCCCGTGCTGTGCTGCCTTGTGAGGGCTTCGAGACTGAGATGCCCCCATGATTTTTTTTTTATTCTATAAATAATTCAATCCTTTTGTAGAACCAGGTTTTGCCTCATCTCTGTCTGGGGCCCTGGGGCTCCCCAAAATCCCTTGTTTCAGGGGGTGATGGGGGAGTTGGTGGCCAAACCCTGTGCTGGGAGGGGAGTTGAATCCCACTCTCCCTGTCCCAAACCCCTGGAGCGTTCTGTGCTGCACTGGGTGGAGCAGGGATGCTTCCCTGCTGTGCTGTCAGCCACAAGCAGGCTCTTGTTGGGAATCCCTCCACGTGAGCCTGAGTTCTTGCTGGAATTCCTCCCCATGAGTGTGAGTTCAGGCCTCAAGCACAGCTCCGGTGGCCGGTGAGTAACCGCGACCTCACCGGCACCGCACCGGCCTCGTGCTGGGACAGGCTCCCCCAGGACTGTCCCCACGCCCCATCATCTGCTCCAGCAGTGAATCCTCCTGGAGTGTCACGAACCCCCAACCCTGAGGGGGTGGCAGGGCTGGGGTGGCTGCACCTCTGCCCCTTCGCTGGTGTTGACTCATGAGAAGGGGAAGCGGGGCCAGCGGGCACCAACCCTTCCCTCTGGGCACTGCAGCTCTGGGACCAGCTGTGCCCCTGCCCCCTCGGCACCAGTGGAGTTCCCAGTTCGTTCCTGGCTGCTCCCGGGTTCTGCTGGATGGAGAGACCCCAATGCACTTGGGGTAGCTGCATGTGCTGGCTGGTCCTTGCCCTTCAGGGAGGGAGTATCTTCCCCTTTCCCCCTGCTCCTGTGGGCTCATCCCCGCTCCAGGGCAGGTGCAGAGCGGACACGGGGTGGGTGGGGCAGCTAACGGAGCCGTGGCACGCACTGGGATGGGCTGGGATGGCCTCACCAGGCCTGACACCGGTGTGAGTGCCACACTGAGCTGGCACCAACCTGCCCGGGCACCGCTGCTCGCCCAGGGGCGGCTCTTTACCGTTAGCCCAGAGCAAAGAGCAGGGCCCGGCGCTCGTGGCCTTCCCGGCTCTGTCAATATTTGCCGCGGCAGCCCCATGCCTGGCGTTGGCACTGGCGCTGCCCCTTCCAGGAAGGGGCTGGAGCAGGAGAAGGGGTTTCCTGTAAGCACTGTGAGGGCCCGGTGAGAGCCCGGCCGTGGGGCTCTGGCTTTGTGCCAGCGAAGGCGGAGGGAGGCAGGAACTGCTCCCACTGGCCCCCACTGGCTCTGGGCTCTGTCCCTTCGGGGCCGGGATGAGTGTGGCGAGGGATGATGGTGGTCACAGGACCTGAGCGTGGGCCCGGTGGGAGGAAAGGGATCTGGTGGAGCCGAGGAGCTCAGGGACAGCCTGGGGTGGGCAAACACCCACGAGGGCGAGGCTGGGGGTGGCTGCAGGGGCTTTCTGGGCTAGGGAGATGCCCAGGGGTCTCCTGACATTACCACATCCGTTTGTCCATCCACCCTGCCACAAGCACCCTGCCTCCCTCGCCGCTGGAAGCCTCGTCCCACCACAGTCACTCCCGGAGGGCTCTGGGCATGTCCCAAGGCAGCTTTGGAGCAGATTCCCCGTGTGGCAGCAGCAGCAGAGGGGTGGGTGGGTCCTCCCAGCGCGGGTGGCTTCCGGAGCTTTCTAGGAATCAGCTCTTGCCCAAGTGGTGCTGCCGGGGGTGGGAGGAAGCAGATGCCCCATGGGTGCCTCCTGGTCCTCGTGGGGCTCGGGCCGTGGTGTGGGGGCACCAGGGGGGTTGGTTTCCAATGGCAATGTGCACCACTGAGCCGACACCGGCGGCCACAGCCCGGCCCCAAATGCCCCATTCCCTTGTCCCGTTGTCCCCATGCCCGGCCACTCCACTTCCTCCCCCACCCCAAGCAGGCAGGAGACAGCAGGGCAGAGCAAAAAATAGAGTTTATTTCCATTTTTATCACACACACATACATATATATATATATAAAAAAAAAAGCAGCGTGTGTTCCTCGGGGCTGACCCAACTGGAGCAATAAATACAGTACAAAATCCGCCGCCCCCCGCCCGCAGCTCCCACACGGCCACGGGACCGGGGCTGCGTCAGGCTCAGGGGGATGGGACCGTGTCCAAGCAGCTCCTCCCGGCCAGGGATGGGCATGAATAAGTTAAACTGCAATAAATACCCTGAATTTTGGCAGGGAAGGCGGGGACAGAGCAGAAACAGCCCCCCCAAGCGCTGGTGCTCCCCAGAAAAGCCTCGTTCCGGGTGGGTCGCATCCCTACGGCATTTCCATCCTCCTCTCCCTCCCTAATGGCTACTAAATATTAATTACTAGAAATAACACCCGTCAGATGTGTCCCTGCAGGCTGCAGCCCAGGCAGGGAGATGCTGCTCTGGAGCATCCTCATCCTCGGATGAAGGCGGTTTCCCGTGGGATGCTGCAGGGGAGCCCCTGCAGCGCAAACCGTGGGGAAACGGAGGCACAGGCGGTGCCACGGCAGCTGCGGGGGCTCTGCCCAGCTCCCGAACCTCGTAGCAGAGATACGCTTGTGTTTAAATATTAAACAAGGGTGATGCTGCACAGATACCCGTGCACGGATCCGCCGCGGGGACCCCCGGAGCGGGGGGAGCATCCCCGGCCAGATAAATATTAAATAGCCATAAATATTAAATAAGCAGAAAACGGGGCGCTCCTGGGATGTCCCTCGGGTGGGACATCCACGAGCAGGGGTCAGAGGCGGGCGAGGTGCCGCAGTGCCCGGTATGCCGTCTCCAGGAACCGCTGGAAGTTGGCCAGGATGAAGAAACCGCCGACTTGGTGGTGGAAGTGGGAGGAGAAGGTGGGCAGGGGGTCCGGGTTCTCTGCCGGGTATGTCACCGTGGCCAGGCCCAGGTCCTCCATCTGCAGCAGGACAGAGGCAGCGCAATCAACCCCGGGCTCAGAGATGCCCTGGGAGCACAGAGGCATCCCAGGGATGCGGAGTGTCCCTGCTGGGCCCTCCGTGTGCCCCAGGAATGCAGCCCTGCTACCCCTGTGTGCCCTTCCTGGGGATACAGCACCCACCGTGCCCACCCATCCCTGGGGATTCAGCCCCTGCTGTGCCCCCATGCCCCTCACCTGCTGCTGGATGTTGGAGGACAGGTTGGCCATGTCCAGCTGCAGGGTCTCCACCAGCCCGGCGTGGCGGGGCAGCAGGTCCCGCACAGCGGCCAGGGAGCCGTGGTAGGCGCGGAGCCCGGCGCGGATCTGGTTGAAGCAGGTGTCCTGCGGTGGGCACGGCACGGTCAGTGGGACCACGGCGGGCTCTGGGGTGCCCCGAGCTGCGGCAGAGCCAGCGGGGCTGAGCCCTGCCGGGTCCTGGCAGGGGTGGGCTGCACTCACCGCCTGGAAGGAGCGGCTGTGGCACTGCTCCAGCGGCACCTGCGCGATGTCCAGGTCCTGCCGCACCAGCAGCAGCTCTTCCTCCTTGCACAGCTGGAAGGTGTCGCACTGCGGGCGAGGGGACGGGGTCAGGATGGCCAGAGGACCCTGACACCCCCCAACACCCCATTCCTGGGCTGCCCTGGCTGGTGTGTGCCCGGGAGGGTCCCTACGTGCCCCCAGTGGACCCCAGGATGTCAGGGCTGAGCCTTGGGGGCCCCACAGTCTCCCGGCCCTGCAGTGCCTTGTCTAGGACCCCGAGGGTTCCACCGTCCCCGCTCTGTGGGACTCACCACCACGTGCTGCAGCGCGGCCACGTCCCCACGGATCTTGCGGGTGAACTCGAGGTTCCTCTGCAGGAAGAGCTGGAAGTCCAGGTCCCCGGAGAGCTCGGGCAGCGGTGCCCCGTCCAGTGCCCACCACGGTGCCCACAGCAGCGCGCCCAGCAGCGCCAGCCCACCTGCGGGGACAACAGCTCAGAGCCCACCCGACACCCCGGGGACCCCAACCCCGTGCCCAGGGTGAGGTCAGGAACCAGAAACCCCCTAAAAGAGCATCCCACAGGCCGTGGGGCAGTGGTGGGGGGCTCTGGGCGTGTGGGTGCAGCAGGGGCTACAGGGAGGGGGATTTATGGGTGCTCTGGGGGAAGTGAGCGCTGTGGGGGCAGAGAGCGAAGTGGGTACAATGGGAGCAACAGGAGCAGTGAGAGATGCAGGGGTTGTGGGAGCAATGGGGGCTGTGGGTGCAATGGGAGCAGCAGGAGGTGTGGGGGAAGTGGGAGAAATGGGATCAGTGGGGGCTGCAGCGGGTGCAAGGTACTCACGGGTGAGGGAGCACATGGTGGGTGCCCGGCTCGGCGTCTCCTCCTCAGTTCAGAGCAGCCCAGCCCAGCCCGGCCCGGCCTCCCTCTGTCCTGCCCAGCTCTGCTCATCGATCAGGGCATTTATAGCGCGGGCCCCGGGGATTCTCACCGATGTGGCAACCGCCCCGATTGCTTCATTGCCTTAATCACAGCTTTCAGATCCCAGGAACCGGGTGCTCAACCGGGCCCACACTGTGGGGCTTTCCCGGGCCGGGTGGGCAGCGCTGCCCCTCGGCGTGGCTGCTGGTACCCGGCTCAGCCCTGGCAACAAGGTGGGTGCCAGGATGGAGCTGGTGGGGCCTTGGTGACTCATTAACCTGCTCCCAAAGCTCCCACTGTGCTGACCAGAGCCCAGTGCAACGGGGTCACTCAGAGGGTCACTCGCAGGGTCACTCGCAGGGTCACTCACAGGTGACCAGGAGAGGGGACAGTGGCTGCTGGTGTCACTCCAGGATCATGCCTATCCCTGTTCCATGTGGGAATCACCCCCCCAACTGCCCCAGCCCCTCATCCCAGCACCAGGGCGGGTGCTGGTGGCGTGACTGGAGAGTGGGACTCGGACCCTGTGGGTCCCTTCCAGCTCAGAATGTCCTGTGATTCTGACTCTGTGCCCTTCACAGTGGTGGCACCAGCTGGAGGTCGCCAAGGTGTGACCCTGTCCAGACACCTCCCCGGGGCCGAGGGTGCGACCCCAGGGTCACATCCTGCCCTGCTGGGCGCTGCGGGGCCGGGCTGTGCCCGGTGTCCTCCACGTGCAGCAGCTGCATCAGGCTGACCTCCCTACCCCCGTGAGGGGCCAACACCCCCTACCCTTCAGGGAAGAGGCTTCCAGGGCAGCCCCAGGTCTGGGATGACCCTTCCCGGCCCCGCCACACTGACGTGGGAATTTTGGCTCGTGTCGCTTCCCGCAAGTCCTTCCAGGATGATCCCTTGGGCCGGTGCCAGCTGGACCGGCTCCTGTCCGGCATGGGCTGGATGGGGCAGGGAGGCACCGGTTCCCCCCCCAGCCCTGGGCAGGGTGACCCTGGGGCAGCGCTGAGCTGGGGGGGCTCATTCTATCCCCCTGACCCCTGGCAGGGTCCCACCCCTGAACTCCTGGAGGCCGTGGGGACAGGGATGGGGACAGGGATGGGGACAGGGAACTCCCATTCCTGCATGCAGACCTTGCTGGGAGTGGGGATGGGCCACACACCCAGTGGGGTACAGCCCACAGGCTACACTTTGTGGGGTGCAGTTTGTGGGGCACAACCACAGCACCAGCCCCGGGAGCTGCTCCCACCTCCAGCTGGGAAAGGAACCCCCATCAGCTGCAGACAATCCATGGGCACCAGACAGAGCCAGGTCTGCCCTCTGGAACCCAAGTCTGACCTCCCTTCAGAACCCGGGAGCACCAAGTGTTCTACCCTCGGACCCTGTGAGAGGGCCTTGGCAGTGGGGACTGTTTGTGGGATTTTGGGAAGCAACAGCCTCTCCCAGCTTTGCCTGTGCCCTCCCAGGAGTCAGGGGAAGCTGGTGGCCATGGAGGGACTCGGTGTGGTCCCCCCGGACCGAGGGGGCCCCAAGTGCCATGGGATCACCCCAGAGCGGATCTGCCCTCTCAGCAGGTTGGTGCTTTCAGGATTGTGACGGGGGTGGAGGGGGGAGGTTGAATCAGCGCCTGGTGGAGCCCAAAGCCCCCTGTCAGCTTTCCAAGGAAGGAAGTGGTTTCGGACCCGAAACTCTGTGGGTGTTGGGGGGTGGGAGGTGGAGCTGGGGCAGCACAATCCCCCACGTGGGTCTTGAGCTGCCCAGCCCGGTCCTGGGGGCTGTCCCGGGCACTCACCCCGCTGTTTCAGCCTCGTGGTCACCCTTCCTCTTCACGTGGCCCAAGCTGGGAACCCTCGTTCCCTTCCCTCTGCCAACACGTCAGCGCTCCTGGGGTGTCCCTGTGTCCCCAGTGCCAGCCCTGGCTGTCCCCCTTGGCTGGGCTTTCGCTTTCCCTGGTCTCCCCACAGGGACCTCAGAAACAGGGATGGGCTGGGGCAGCCCCACACTTGACCCTCAGCCCTGGCCCCTGTCCCAGCATGGGCGTGCTGGGGGATTCCCAGATTTTCCCAGAGAACCAATCCCAGACACCAGCAGGATCCACCTGGGGTGGCTGCACATCCCCTGTCACCATCACCCCCCGGGGCTGGGGTTGTGGGGCACAGGGGGCCCAGCCTGTGCCTTTCCCCACAGAGGTTCTGCTGGAACCCCATTCCTGAGCTGCTGAGGCCACTCCCAACCCCACTAGGACAAAGCTCCAGCCCTCAGGATGCCCAAGCCAGCCCCAGCCCCACCTCTGATCACCAGCCCTGAGGAGGGAGCAGAGACCCCAGACCAGCCCTGTGCCCCCCTCCCCACCCCAACAAACCCACGGCAGGAGCCCTCCAGGCTGGTGTTTTTCCATCTTTTATTTTAAAATTCATAACTGAAGTTTAACAAAGTTTGACCCCGTTGCTGTTGTGGGAGCCGGGGGGGCCCTGACAAAGCCCCCCCCTCCTGCCCCCTGCCCGCTCCAGCCCCGCTCCCCCCACAGCCCCCCCGGCACCGGCTCCGACATCACCACAGGGATCCTTCCAGGGATGTTTATTGGGGAGGGGGTCCCAACGTGGGTGCAGGGGGTCGGGGGCTGCAGGCCCAGGGAACCCCCTGTGTTCCCTCCCACAGTACAGACATGCAGGGATTTATAAAAGGGGGGTTGGGGGGGTGCCCTGCTCAGCCACCATCTGCCCAAGGGACAAATAAAAAACACAGCCAGGGCCCAGGGTCACGGAAAACCGTCGTCATCATCCTCTGCCATCTCCTTGGCGAACTCCAGGTCCTGCTGCTCACGCTCCCGGCGCTCCTGGAAGGCAGAGGTTGGTGGCAGGTGGGGACAGGAGCCACCTCCTTCCCGTGGCCGCAGGGGCCAGGGTGAGATCTCACCTCTGCAGATTCCAAGTCCTTGTTGTACGATTTGGGTGGGAACCTCATGGCCTGGAGAAAGGGAGGAGGAGGAGGAGGAGCTCTGAGCTGAGCCAGCCCGGGGCTGTGTCCTGCTGTCCCCAGGACTGTCCCTTGCCCCCGGGGACGTGGGGCCAGGCCGTGCTCACCTTCACGGACATGTTGTGGATGTCGAGGCAGAAGGAGATGCGCTGGTGGAAGGCCAGCTGGGGCTCCCGCGTGGAGTAGATGTCGATCATCTCCTTGGACTGCACGTAGCCCTTCTCATGGTTGATGCTGGCCTCGATCACGCCATCCCGGATGGCCTGTGGGCAGGGGGCAGGGCACGGCGTGTCCCCAGGGTCGGGATGCGGTGCAGGGAATGTCCCCAGCTCTCCCCAGAGAGGCCTCACTGGACACGGTGGTGCCGCAGGGAGGGGAGAGTGGGGGGTCAGGGCAGAGCTGGGGGGGCTGTGGGCACCCCGGGACCCCCCTGCCGGTACCTTGGCCACGATGAACTCGGCATCCTCCGGACTGTCCAGCTGCAGCTTCTGGGCGATGTCAGCCAGGGAGATGCGGGAGTAGGAGAGGCTGATCATCCGGACACCTGTGGGGACAGCGGGATGCAGCCCCCCGGGACCACGGCATCGCCTGGGGGGGCCCCAAACACCCCCCTACCTGTCTTGATGACGTTGTGCCTCAGCCGGATGATGAGGGTGTAGGTGCCGTCCGCCTGGAACTTGTCCCCAAACTGGTCAAGGACTTGGTTGAACTTGGCCAGGTTCCCCGTCCGGACGGCTGGAGGGGAGAAGGTGGGAATGGGGGAGGGAGAAAGGCTGGGGAACACGAGGCAGGGCTGACTCCCTTCCTCCTCCTCCTCCTCCTCCTCCTCCTTCCCAAGTGGCATCTGCATCTGAGTCGCACCAAGGGAGAGAAGAGAACTCCCCTTGGGTGCCTTCCCACTGAGGGTGTTCCATGGCTCTATGGGACAGGGAGGGGCAGCAGGCTGTACCCTGGGTCAGCAGGAAGTAGGGCATGAGCGAGCGCTTGAGCGAGGGCTGCCGGAACTGCAGCCTGTCCGGGATCTCCCCAAGCAGCAGCTCCACCACGATGAGCAGCTTGTGCACCTGGGGCAGGACGAGACACTGGGTGAGTCCCTGCGGGGCCTGAAACCATCCCCTGTCCCTGTGGGACCCAACCCCAGAACCCATTCCCATCCCTGCAGGTCCCGGCAGGTCCCAGATCTGTCCCTGGGAAGTTCCAAACCTGGGAGGTCCTTGCAGGGCCCAACACCCCAGGCGGTCCCAAAGCTGTCCCCGTGGGGCTTCATACACTGGGAAGTCCCAACCCCAGGAAGTCCCAAACCTGAGGGGTCCCAGACCCACCCCCAGCCCCGGGGGGGTTGCCACGCTGTCCCCCCTCACCGTCTGCTTGAAGCCCACGGCCGTGTGCTGCGGGGCCTTGCGCAGGGCGTTGGTCATGGTCCGCCGCGCCTCCGAGTATTCCAGCTGGATGGCCTTGATCCGCCCTGCGCCCACACGGGGCGGGTGGGGAAAGCCACCCCAGTGAATCCAACCCGACCCGCACGCACGGGGCTCCAAATCCTGCCTGGAAGCCCCCACCTCCAGCTGCTCAAAGGGGTTTCCAAGGGAAGCGGAGCCGGGAAGGGCAGCTCCCCTGGGTGGGACACGCTCACCTGTGTAGTACAGGTACCGGGCCCACTCGTTGTTGTTGGCCTGCTCGGGGAACACGGACTTGGAGACGAGCTTCTCGGCCTGGTCGTAGAGGTTGTAGTGGAGGTAATTCCTCAGGAGCAGGTTGAGCAGCGTGGCCTGGCCGTCGGCGTCGTGGCGCAGCGTGGCCGTGCGGAGCCGCGCGTGCAGGAAGCTGCGGGGACGGCACGGGGAGTCAGGGAGAAAACAGAGGGGGACACACCGAGCTCGGGGACAGCCCACCCTGTAGGGCCCACCCCACCCCACCTCCGGACCACGTCGAGCTTGTTCAGGAACTCGTAGATCCGGGAGTGGTAATAGTAGCACTTGGCCACCACCAGGTCCAGGGCCCGGCGGTTCTGGGAGCTGATCTTCTGCATCAGGTCATCGGACACTTTCTGAGCCTGCAGGAGGGGAGGGAGGTCAGAGCAGGGGGTGGTCCTGGGAGGGGGCAGAGACCACCCGGGCCGTGGGGTGGCCTCCCAGCACCCCTGGGATGAGGGCACAGTGTGGGGCAGGGCCGGGTGGTCCTTGAGGCTCCTGGGGAGCAGAACAGCGGGATCAGCTCGGGGGGGTCTCACCTCGGGGTACCTCTTGCTGTTCATCAGGTAGATGACGAGCAGCAGCTGCAGGTAGGTCTCCACCTCTGGCAGGAGAGGGGCTGAGGCCGCTTTCCCTGTCCGTGGGCGGAACTGCAGCTCAGCTTCCGTGTCCATGGACTGAGGGGACAGAGATGTGCTGGATCCCCGTCAGGATGTGACAGGAGCCAGCCCAGGCTGCTCTGATGACAGTCCCATCCCTGCCCAGGGCTGCAGTGTCCTGTCCCTGCTCACATGTGCTCCTGAGCAGCTGGGCTGTGCATCCCCACTGCCCCCAAGCTGTCAGTGTGAAGCCACTCCCCTCATTCTGTCCCTGCAGGCCCTTGTAAATAGTTTCTCCCCATCTTTCCTGTTGGCTCCTTCAGGTACTGGGAGGCCAAATTTAAATCACCCCTAAGCCTTGTCTTCTCCAGGCTGAACTACCCCAATTCTCCCAGCCTGTCCTCAGAGCAGAGGTGCCCCATCCCTCTGATCACCTTGGTGCCTCCTCACTCCAACAGCTCCCCACCCTTCCCACGCTGGGACCCCCGAGCTGGGGGCAGCACTGGGGGCAGGTGTCCTCTCCCTCCCCTGCCCGTACCTCCTCCAGGAAGCCGAGCAGGAAGTCCCTGAGGGTGCAGTTGGAGGTGAAGAAGCCGTGGATGGCCTTGTGCAGCACGTTGGGGTTGAGGCGGCGGGAGGTGGAGGGCAGAGCCCGCAGGGCCCGCAGGACGTAGCGCGGCTCCTTCCCCGACACCGCCTTCTCCAGCTGCTTCACGTGCTCCTTGATGTCTGCGAGGGGGCACACGGACACCCCTCACCCCAAATCCTCTGCCAGGGCCACCCCAGGGCTGTCTCATCCCATTCTACTGCCCTGGGGCCTCGGTGTCCCCAGTGACCTGACCTGTCCCTGCTTGGAGCAGGGGGCTGGGGAGACCCTCCCAGAGCCTTCTCCCTCCTCCCCAAGAGCTCCAGCCCCTCTCTGCACCCCTGCGGGATCCCACCGCAGCAGGGCAGCAGCGCCCCTGCCCCTCGCAGCCCGTCCTCCCAGGGATCTCCACCAAACACCTCTCCCTCTGCCTTTCCTTCACAGAGCCTCTCCCCCCAAAGCCCCCTGGCACACAGTGACCCTCCCCAAAAATACACCTCAATTTCCCTTTTCTCACCGTGACCCCCCAGCCCGGCCAAACCCACCTCTCTTTCCCACGTGGTACCCCGAAACTCTCCCTCCTCAAAGTGACCCCCCTAAAACCCACCTCCCAGCATCCTTTCCCTCAGGGCCGCCCCCCAACTCCCGTGTCCACACCGATCCCCCCCATTTCACCCTCTCCACCCCCAACACCCTCTCCAGCCCCCCCTCCACTGAGACCCCCCCCTAAAACCCCTCCAGAGCTCCCGTAGGCCCCAAACCCCTTCTCCCAAAACCCCCTCACCCAGGACCACTCCCAGATGTCCCTCCGAGCTGTCCCCGCTCCCTCCTTCCCCCCCGGTCCCCCTCAGACCCCCATCACAGCGACACCCCCCCCCCTCACCCTCCAGCGTGATCGCGTCCAGCTCCCTCTGCGGCTGCCGCTCTCCCGCCGCCTCGGGGGCCGCCGGGGCCGCCTCCTCGTGCATCTCGACGTCGGGGGGCGCGGGCGGGGGTCCCTCGGGGGGTGCCTTGGCCTTGTCGCCGCGGCGCCGGGGCCCGTCCTGCTTCATGGCGTGACACTGCACAACGGGCCGCCAGGCGCGGCCGGCCGAGCGCCGAGCGCCCCGCCGCGATCGGCTCCTCCCGCCCGCCGCTCGGGCCTTTCCGCCGACGCTCGGGGAGTCCCGCCGAGCCCGCTCGGGAGGTTCCGTAAAGCTTTTCGGGTGTTTCCGCGCGGCTGTGCCCGCCCGCTTGGGGGCGCAGGCGCTGGGGAGAAGAGCGAGGTCCCGTGAGGGGCCGGGACCGGGACCGAGAGCGGGATCCTGTGAGGGGTCCCGTGAGGGACCGGGAATCCTGTGAGGGATCCTGTGAGAGGTCCTGTGAGGGACCGGGAATCCTGTGAGGGATCCCGTGAGGGAATGGAATCCTGTGAGGGATCCTGTGAGAGGTCCTGTGAGGGATCCCGTGAGGGACCGGGGATCCTGTGAGGGATCCTGTGAGAGGTCCTGTGAGGGGTCCCGTGAGGGACCGGGAATCCTGTCAGGGATCCTGTGAGAGGTCCTGTGAGGGACTGGGAATCCTGTGAGGGATCCCCTGAGGGGTCCCGTGAGAGATCCTGTGAGGGATCCCCTGAGGGGTTCCATGAGGGACAAGGGATCCTGTGAGGAGTCCCGTGGGGGACCGGGATCCTGTGAGGGGTCCATGAGGGACCGGGAATCCTGTGAGGGATCCTGTGAGAGGTCCTGTGAGGGGTCCCGTGAGGGACTGGGAATCCTGTGAGGGGTCCCCTGAGGGGTCCCGAGAGAGATCCTGTGAGGGGTCCCGTGAGGGACCGATCCTGTGAGGGATCCCCTGAGGGGTTCCGTGAGGGACCGGGGATCCTGTGAGGGGTCCATGAGGGACCGGGGATCCTGTGAGGGGTCCATGAGGGACCGGGGATCCTGTGAGGGGTCCTGTGAGTGATCAGGACCAGGGATCAGAGGGGGGTCCTGTGAGGGGTCCCGTGAGGGACCAGAGATTCTGTGAGGGATCCCGTGAGGGGTCCTGTGAGGGGTCAAAACTGGGAGTCCCATGAGGGGTCCTGTGAGAGATCAGGACCAGGGATCATGTGAGGGGTACCATGAGGGATCGGGACTGGGAATCCTGTGAGGGGTCCTGTGAGGAGCCAGGCTGGGATCGGGACCGGGAGACAGGGTGCCCAGCTAAGCGCCCTATTTCTGTGACAGCCTCACTCCCAAGGTTGTCAGATGTGTTGTGGGACCCAAAACACACGGAAAGAAAGAAGTTGCCTTCCAGAACACCAGGTTGCTCAGCAAGTAGCTCCTCTTTATTTATAAAGTGATAATGAGAGTATTTAAATTGTAACTGAAGCACTGCCCCGTGTCCCTGGAGCAGCCCAGGGGCCATGGCAGCATTGGGTCCAAGAAAGGGTCGGTGAATCCCCTGGGATCCCCCCACCTTTGTGCCACAAACACCTCATGGAGCCCCCCGGAACCCACAGGGGGGACCAGGGTAATTGGGTCACTGCAGGTCTTTTCCTTTGTTTCCTTTGCATTTTTTCCCCTTTGCATTCCCTTTCCCTTTGCATTCCCTTTCCCTTGGCATTCCCTTGCCCTTCCCTTTCCTGTTCATTAATTGCAGAAGCAGCAGTGTTTTTAGGGAAGCAGGATTACATGAGGCACAGCAGCCAGGCCTGTGGTTATCTGGGCTCATGGATTTTCCAATTGTCCCTCTGCTTTCAACAGGGAACAGCCAGAGAAATCCACTTTGATATCCAGCCTTTTGCATCCATAATGAGGTTTCCTGCCTTGAGTTTGCTTTTCCCAGCCAAAGCAGCCATAAGCATTAACAAGGATGAAAATGGGGGAGAGAAGTGGCTCATGGGCAGAAGTTTCCCAGCACCTTGGGGAGGGGTTCCCTGGGCAGGGCCAGGTGCCTATTTGGGGTCACTGAGGAGGCAGAGGATGTACAGGGCCACGTACAGGGCAGCCATGACCTCAAAGGGATGTTCCATGGGCACAGCTGATCCATCTTCCTGGAGCTTCACTCTGCTCAGCTCCACCAGGGCCATGGTCAAGTGCTGATCCTCCTGCCGTGGGAAGGAGAGCAGCCTGGCGTCCACACGGAAAGGCTTCTCCAGCTCGTGCTCCAGGAGTTTCTCAACCTTCACAGCAACACCAAAAAAGGCAAATCGGTGTTTTAACAAGCTGTCCAATTGTGATGTCATCATGGACATGATGCTTTAATTAAAATACCTCCCATTATCCCTTCAAACGAGCCAAGTGTGATGTGGGTACTCACCAGCTTCAGCTGCTGGGACACAATCTTCCTTTCCAAGGATTCCAGCAGCAGCAGCAGCTGATCGTCCAGTAGCTCTGCAGAATTAATCCAGCTCTGATCAAAAACCTGTCACCAAGGGGTTTGAGATAGTGGGTGGGATGGGAAGGGTGAGCAGGATGAGAAGGGTGATCATTTAGAGATGCAGCTTCCACTTGGGAAGGAAGAGGAGCAGGAACAGGACGAGATGTTAGGACTGGGAGTCAGCTCGGCCTCAGTTTCCCCACTAAGACCCAAAGCCTCACCATCCAAAGCATCAAGGGTGTAGGTTATTCCCTCTGCTAGCAGACGACGATGATCTCTTGGAGAATTCTCTAAGGTGCTCAACAGGTCTTTTAAGTCTGGGCTTTCTGTTTTCAGCTCATAACCATCAATTCCTGCAAAAACATCTTCCATCTGTGTGGAAAAGGGAAAAGAAAGGTCAGGATTTGAGGGCAGAGGCTGCTGCTAGTCCAGAGCAGATCAGATGTGCTGAGTAAAGGGGATTTTGGGTGGAGTGTTGTGGCACAGGTGCCTTGTGGGGCAAGAGGTGTGATCGCGGATGTCTCTGTGTTTGTAAATCCTGGCAGTAGGAGAACCTTTCCTTACCTTCTGGCTGAGCTCTGGAAAGAGGTTCCTGTCTCTCAGCACAGCTGTGATGGTCTTTAGGAACATGACCCGCAGGTCAGGAGACAGCTTGGAGAAAACCGCATAGTGTTGTACAACTTCTCTCACCACTTCTGAGGGACCTGAAAACCAGGAAGAGTCCAAAGATGTCACTGCTGAACTAGGAGTTCAGTGGCAGCCCTAAACTGAGAGTGTGAAACACTGGTGTGAATATTTTGGAAGCAAGATGGAATTTGGGCAGTTGTCATGTCTTTGGGAACACATCACTCTTGGTGGTTTGTTTTGTCCCGGGAGATTCCACCTCACCCAAACCAGGTAAAAGTTTCACAAGTGGAAGCAGAAGAATACTTTGCTTACCATCATCTTCGTAACCTACAAGTTCACCAGAACACTGTATGAAAAATCCCAGTCCTGCAACAGGATAAAAAGGACATTTAGGTTGTTTTTCCCAGCTTTCCCACTGAAGGTCACCCTCCCTGTTTTCTCCCTGGCTCTTTTCTTCTAAACATGAAAAAGGACCAAACCAAACTCTGCTGTCTGTGCCGTTTATCACCAGGAGCTCTGCAGCTCCCCAAAGATAGAGCGGAGAGTTCCAGGGTCCCTCTTGCCCTCCCCAAACTGCTCCTTTCCCACACAGAGCCTTGACATTCCATGGGTTGTACAACCTTCCCCAGGTGGTTTCTGTCCCTCCCACTGCCTCCATCTCCTTGTCAATGAGCTGATGGTGGCTGTGGGGCTGAGTGATACTTGAGAAAATGTTCTTCCTCTTCCACACCATTTCCCAAATGGAGGAGTTGGTAATTTCTGGAAGTTACTTACTCCATTCTCCCTTGTAAATGTTCATCTCGATGGCCCTGAAGGCCAGGGTGCAGCTCTTGGGGATGACTATGCTTTGTCTGTTCTCTGTGGTGCCCTGGTGGAGGAAAACAACCTGCTAGGGCACCTGGATGAAGGTGCTGGGGAAGGATCAACACCTGAGCCTGGAGAGAAACCAAACCTTTGCAGAGAACTTGGCGTAAATCTTGGCCAGGAAGCTCCCGTGTACCTTGGTGGACTCCTTGTAGACGGCCTCCTCTGAGGCTTCCAGGGTTTCATAAACCAAGAACAATTTGAGCTTTGTCCTCTGGAGCTGTTGGATGAAGGAGTGATCCATGTTGATTTTTCTAAAAGACAAAAAGGTTGGGAAGGGGCTGGAGCACAAGTCATTTGAGGAGCGGCTGAAAGAGCTGGGGGGGCTCAGCCTGGGGCAAAGGAGGCTCTGAGGGGAAGTTCTGGCTCCAAGCCCCACCCAGCCCGGCCCAGTTAGGGGGAATTCATTGTCTGAGGCCTCAATCATGTTTTTGTGCTGTTGAACACCCCCTGTGTGACCTGTCATGGCCTGGGTGGGGATGGCCTGGGTGGGGATGGCCAGAGCCTGTGTGCTGCCTTTGTCCTGCCTTACCTTTTTTGTCTCAGGGCCTCCAGTGAGCCCATGGATATGGTCTTGGTCTGAGGCTTGATGGAAAACTCCTGGGACACAGAGCCACCTCCTTTCAGCTCCACATTTGCAGGGTCAACACTAAGGCTGAGGCACCCATCGACTTGGTCAGTGGTGACTTTGGTGAGAGTGAATTGTCTGGAATGTGGACCATCTCCCGAGGGATGGAGGGAATCTGAAATGATTCCATGCATTTGTTTCAGCCGGATTGCACAGATTCAGCACTCTAAGTGTTTCACCCACAGGAAAGCTGGGACGTGGGACAGTTCAGCCATGACCCCAGTGACCCCAAAACATTATCTGTGGAATCTGTGAACTTTGGGTTGACATATCTGGGCTTTACCTGTGCTTTTCCCATCATCTCCAGGCAGCAGCACATCGTCCAGTGTGAACCCTGTGCGCTGGTAGTAGGGACCTTGGTGGAACACGGTTTTTCTTTTTTCTTTTCCTACCAGAAGGCAGGAGGGTCTGAAGTGCTCGTGGTCTGCAATGCTCTCCACGGGGACCAATTCTTCCTTTGGATCCATTTGACTTACGATGTATCTGGTGACTTTTTTAAACATTCTGCTGGGTGTGAGTGAAGTTTTGCAGCCAAGCCAAGTGGATTTGTGCCTTGGGAAAGGGGCAAGGCAAATTCAGCCAAATTACCTGAAATGAGTAACAAAATGTTACTGCAGTGATTAAGAATTTTTCAAAATCATGACCTAAATACACCCCACTATCTAAGGACACAGCTTTCCGAGGGTTGTTTTAGGGAGTGTTTGGAGAGGAAGCAGCAGGAGCTGTGAGTTGTTTGGACTCGTCCCCCTTTGCTGATGAAGCCCAGTCACGGTGCAGACAGAGCCCAGCTCGCAGGCTCTGAGGGTGCAGATTCTGGGGGCAAATCTCCCCCAAAATATAAAGCAATCAGCCCAGCCCAGCCCCCTGCACACAGCCTGGAGCTCAGCTGCTGTTTGAGAGCCAGAAACAGATTCCGGTTTCCTGACGCAGCTTGTATTTCACAAAAAATTGTTTCAGTTTCACTTTTCTGGTGTGTTGGGGGAGGGAAAGGCAGGGAACGCCTGCCTGACTTGGGTCGTAAGAGACCCTGAAGTCCATCCAATTCCACCCCTTGCCATGGGCAGGGACACCTTCCACTGGCCCAGGTTGCTCCAAGCCCCGTCCAACCTGGCCTTGGACACTTCCAGGGCTGGGGCAGCCACAGCTTCTCTGGGCATCCTGTGCCAGGGCCTGCCCACCCTCCCAGGGAGGAATTTCTTCCCAATGCCCCATCGAACCCTACTGTCTCTCAGGTTAAATCCATCTCCAAGACAAACAGTCCTGTGTGCCCACTTTTAGTAGCATTTGCAGGACTCATTGCCTTGGAAAGCACTTAACAGACGGCTTCCCCCAAGCCTCTGCCACAGCCAAAGCTCTGGAATAAGGCCCTTACCTGTTTGGTGGATGCCTCCCGTGGATCAGGAGCCTGGGGGCTGCTGAGGGGATGTGAGCCCTGCAGGACAGCAGGAGGAGGTCTCTGCCTTCCCTTCTGCTCAGAGGGCAGGAAGTTTCTGCTAAATGAGGGAGCTGTGAGTTGGCACAAGAAGCTGGAAGCAGCACAGACCCAAAGAGTAAAGTGATTTCCCTTACCTTGTTAATGGGGAGGGGGCTCCCTGAAGCAACCCCTGGGTTAGACCCAGTCCGTGCAGGAGGATCCCTGGCTGTTCACCCCAGCTCACTCTCAGATGTGAGCGATTTCCTGACCTCTTCACCATTGTTAACTCCAGTGAACTATTGCTTAACTCTTCCTCTAAAGGGCTTTGGTGATTGGACAGAGTCAGAATGTTGGAAACTTTGTACAAAGTCTGTGAGTCACTGGAACTTCTGCAAATGGAGCAGATAAAACCCGCCCACCCCTCCAGGACCTGAGGGGAGCTGGGCCTGCTGGTGTTACACCGTGTCTGTGTTTGGGGTGTGATGCTTTGGGACCTCTTCCTGCCTTTCACTGCAGCACAGGATTCCTTGGGGCTGGAGTTCAGGTGGCAGATAGGAAGTAAAAAGCCAAGTGTGGTATCAGTGACTGGGTAGCGGCTGTGGAATCATAAATCATATTTTGCAGACCTGGGTGGAAAATAAATCCCCGTTAAGACGTGGCCTGCAGTTCTTGCCTCAGTCTGTGCCCTCTTTTGCAGCCTGAGTCGCGTGGACTGACCCTGATCCCTGCAGAGCCTTCACCATCTCATCTAGGGAGGCCCTTCTGCCAGTACATAGCGAAAGGTTTGTGTTAGTAATTCTTTGCCTCCCTGTCTCGTTGTCTCCATGGGGTAGGGGTGCGTTAGGAAGTGGCAAAATGTGCCCTTATTTCTGTGACAGCCTCACTCCCAAGGTGGTCGGATGTGTTGTGGGACCCAAAACGCACGGAAAGAAAGAAGTTGCCTTCCAGAACACCAGGTTGCTCAGCAAGAAGCTCCTCTTTATTTATAAAGTGATAATGAGAGTATTTAAATTGTAACTGAAGCACTGCCCCGTGTCCCTGGAGCAGCCCAGGGGTGATGGCAGAGCCTGGACCAGGGAAGGGGCAGTGAAACCCCTGGGATCCCCCACCTTTGTGCCACCAGCAGCTCATGGAGCCCCCCGGAACCCACAGGGGGGACCAGGGTAAGTGGGTCACTGCAGGTCTTTTCCTTTGTTTCCTTTGCATTTTTTCCCCTTTGCATTCCCTTTCCCTTTGCATTCCCTTTCCCTTGGCATTCCCTTGCCCTTCCCTTTCCTGTTCATTAATTGCAGAAGCAGCAGTGTTTTTAGGGAAGCAGGATTACATGAGGCACAGCAGCCAGGCCTGTGGTTATTTGGGCTCGTGGATTTTCCAATTGTCCCTCTGCTTTCAACAGGGAACAGCCAGAGAAATCCACTTTGATATCCAGCCCTTTGCATCCATAATGAGGTTTCCTGCCTTGAGTTTGCTTTTCCCAGCCAAAGCAGCCATAAGCATTAACAAGGATGAAAATGGGGGAGAGAAGTGGCTCATGGGCAGAAGTTTCCCAGCACCTTGGGGAGGGGTTCCCTGGGCAGGGCCAGGTGCCTATTTGGGGTCACTGAGGAGGCAGAGGATGTACAGGGCCACGTACAGGGCAGCCATGACCTCAAAGGGATGTTCCATGGGCACAGCTGATCCATCTTCCTGGAGCTTCACTCTGCTCAGCTCCACCAGGGCCATGGTCAAGCTCTGATCCTCCTGCCGTGGGAAGGAGAGCAGCCTGGCGTCCACACGGAAAGGTGGATGTGGGTTGGGACACAATCTTCCTTTCCAAGGATTCCAGCAGCAGCAGCAGCTGATCGTCCAGTAGCTCTGCAGAATTAATCCAGCTCTGATCAAAAACCTGCCACCAAGGTGTTTGAGATAGTGGGTGGGATGGGAAGGGTGAGCAGGATGAGAAGGGTGATCATTTAGAGATGCAGCTTCCACTTGGGAAGGAAGAGGAGCAGGAGCAGGAGCAGGACGAGATGTTAGGACTGGGAGTCAGCTCTGCCTCAGTTTCCCCACTAAGACCCAAAGCCTCATCATCCAAAGCATCGAGGGTGTAGGTTATTCCCTTTGCCAGCTGACGACGATGATCTCTTGGAGAATTCTCTAAGGTGCTCAACAGGTCTTTTAAGTCTGGGCTTTCTGTTTTCGGCTCATAACCATCAATTTTCTCAAGAAATCTTTCTATCTGTGTGGAAAAGGGAAAAGAAAGGTCAGGATTTGAGGGCAGAGGCTGCTGCTAGTCCAGAGCAGACAGATGTGCTGAGTAAAGGGGATTTTGGGTGGAGTGTTGTGGCACAGGTGCCTTGTGGGGCAAGAGGTGTGATCGCGGATGTCTCTGTGTTTGTAAATCCTGGCAGTAGGAGAACCTTTCCTTACCTTCTGGCTGAGCTCTGGAAAGAGGTTCCCGTCTCTCAGCACAGCTGTGATGGTCTTTAGGAACATGACCCACAGGTCAGAAGACAGCTTGGACAACACTCCATAGTGTTTTTTAACTTCTCTTTCCTCCTTGTCTGGTTTTGGTATTAGGAAATCATACAACCCGAAACCTGAAAACCAGAAAGAGTCCAAAGATGTCACTGCTGAACTAGGAGTTCAGTGGCAGCCCTAAACTGAGAGTGTGAAACACTGGTGTGAATATTTTGGAAGCAAGATGGAATTTGGGCAGTTGTCATGTCTTTGGGAACACATCACTCTTGGTGGTTTGTTTTGTCCTGGGAGATTCCACCTCACCCAAACCAGGTAAAAGTTTCACAAGTGGAAGCAGAAGAATACTTTGCTTACCATCACCTTCGTAACCTACAAGTTCAGTAGAACATTCTGTGAAAAATCCCAGTCCTGCAACAGGATAAAAAGGACATTTAGGTTGTTTTTCCCAGCCTTCCCACTGAAGGTCACCCTCCCTGTTTTCTCCCTGGCTCTTTTCTTCTAAACATGAAAAAGGACCAAACCAACCTCTGCTGTTTGCCCCATTTATCACCAGGAGCTCTGCAGCTCCCCAAAGATAGAGCGGAGAGTTCCAGGGTCCCTCTTGCCCTCCCCAAACTGCTCCTTTCCCACACAGAGCCTTGACATTCCATGGGTTGTACAACCTTCCCCAGGTGGTTTCTGTCCCTCCCACTGCCTCCATCTCCTTGTCAATGAGCTGATGGTGGCTGTGGGGCTGAGTGATACTTGAGAAAATGTTCTTCCTCTTCCACACCATTTCCCAAATGGAGGAGTTGGTAATTTCTGGAAGTTACTTACTCAATTCTCCCTTGTTAATGTTCACTTGGATGGCCCTGAAGGCCAGGGTGCAGCTCTTGGGGATGACTATGCTTTGTCTGTTCTCTGTGGTGCCCTGGTGGAGGAAAACAACCTGCTAGGGCACCTGGATGAAGGTGCTGGGGAAGGATCAACACCTGAGCCTGGAGAGAAACCAAACCTTTCCAGAGAGCTTGGCATAAATCTTGGCCAGGAAGCTCCCGTGTGCCTTGGTGGACTCGTTGTAGACAAGCTCCTCTGAGGCTTCCAGGGTTTCATAAACCAAGAACAATTTGAGCTTTGTCCTCTGGAGCTGTTGGATGAAGGAGTGATCCATGTTGATTTTTCTAAAAGACAAAAAGGATGGGAAGGGGTTGGAGCACAAGTCATTTGAGGAGCGGCTGAGAGAGCTGGGGGGGCTCAGCCTGGGGCAAAGGAGCCTCTGAGGGGAAGTTCTGGCTCCAAGCCCCACCCAGCCTCTCCTGGTTAAGGGGAATTCATTGTCTGAGGCCTCAGTCTTGTTTTTTGAACACCCCCTGTGTGACCCAGCATGGCTTGGGTGGGGATGGCCTGGGTGGGGATGGCCAGAGCCTGTGTGCTGCCTTTGTCCTGCCTTACACTTTTTGTCTCAGGGCCTCCAGTGAGTCCATGGATATGGTCTTCTTCTGCATCTTGATGGAAAACTCCTGGGACACAGAGCCACCTCCTTTCAGGTTCACTTTTGCAGAGTCAACACTAAGCTTGAGATTCCCATCGACTTTGGCATCAGTGACCTTTGTGAGAGTGAATTGACTGGAACCTGGACCATCTCCCGAGGGAAGGAGGGACTCTGAAATGATTCCATGCATTTGCTTCAGCAGGATTGCACAAACTCAGCACTGTAAGTATTTCACCCACAGGAAAGCTGGGACGTGGGACAGTTCAGCCATGACCCCAGTGACCCCAAAACATTATCTGTGGAATCTGTGAACTTTGGGTTGAGATATTTGTGTGATATTTGTGACATACCTGTGCTTTCCTCATCACCTTCAGGCAGCAGCACGCTGCCCAGACTAAACCTTGTACACGCGAAGTAGGGACGTGAGCGGAATATGGGGTTTCGTTTTTCTTTTTTAATCAGAAGGCAGGAGAGTCTGAAGTGCTCGTGGTCTACAATGCTCTCCACAGGGGCCAGTTCTTCGTTTGGATCCATTTGACTTACGATGTATCTGGTGACTTTTCTAAACATTCTGCTGGGTGTGGGTGAAGTTTTGCAGCCAAGCCAAGTGGATTTGTGCCTTGGGAAAGGGACAAGGCAAGTTAAGCCAAATTACCTGAAATGAGTAACAAAATGTTACTGCAGTGATTAAGAATTTTTCAAAATCATGACCTAAATACACCCCACTATCTAAGGACACAACTTTCCGAGGGTTGTTTTAGGGAGCGTTTGGAGAGGAAGCAGCAGGAGCTGTGGGTTGTTTGGACTCATCCCCCTTTGCTGATGAAGCCCAGTCACAGTGCAGACAGAGCCCAGCTCGCAGGCTCTGAGGGTGCAGATTCTGGGGCAAATCTCCCCCAAAATATAAAGCAATCAGCCCAGCCCAGCCCCCTGCACACAGCCTGGAGCTCAGCTGCTGTTTGAGAGCCAGAAACAGATTCTGGTTTCCTGACGCAGCTTGTATTTCACAAAAAATTGTTTCAGTTTCACTTTTCTGGTGTGTTGGGGGAGGGAAAGGCAGGGAATGCCTGCCTGACTTGGGTCATAAGAGACCCTGAAGTCCATCCAATTCCACCCCTGCCATGGGCAGGGACACCTTCCACTGGCCCAGGTTGCTCCAAGCCCCGTCCAACCTGGCCTTGGACACTTCCAGGGCTGGGGCAGCCACAGCTTCTCTGGGCATCCTGTGCCAGGGCCTGCCCACCCTCCCAGGGAAGAATTTCTTCCCAATGCCCCATCGAACCCTACTGTCTCTCAGGTTAAATCCATTGCCAGAACAAATAGGTTTGTGTGCCCAATTTTAGTAGCACTTGCAGGAGTCATTGCCTTGGAAAGCACTTAACAGACGGCTTCCCCCAAGCCTCTGCCACAGCCAAAGCTCTGGAATAAGGCCCTTACCTGTTTGGTGGATGCCTCCCGTGGATCAGGAGCCTGGGGGCTGCTGAGGGGATGTGAGCCCTGCAGGGCAGCAGGAGGAGGTCTCTGCCTTCCCTTCTGCTCAGAGGGCAGGAAGCCTTTGCTAAATAAGGGAGCTGTGAGTTGGCCCAGGAAGCTGAAAGCAGCACAAACCCAAAGAGTAAAGTGATCTCCCTTACCTTATTAATGAGGAGTGGGCTCCCTGAAGCAACCTCTGCTGGAGCAGATGCACCGCTGGATCCCTGTCTTTTCACTGCAGCTTATCTGGTGGTGTTCTCAGTTTTGAAATCACTTGGGGAATTTCCTCCTCAGTGATGTTTTATTTTCACACAATAGCCACTGCATAACTCCTCCCCTGAAAGGTTTGAGTGATTGAGTCTCTTAAAGGGGCTGTGTATAACTCAAAACTTCAACAGTGCAGTGGGTTTGACCTTGCCCAGATTCCAAATACCCACTGACAGCTTCTGCATTCCCCCCTCCTCCCGCCTCTGCAACTCCACACAGGAGAGAAGTTAAAAAAAACCAACAACCTGGGACAGTGGAAGGTGTCCCTGCCATTGGTAAGGGGTGGGACTGGATGATCTTTGAGGTCCCTTCCAACCCAAACCATTCCACGATTCATGTGACATTCTTGTTTCACAGCAAAACCCCTCCACGTGAAAATTCCAGGCCTCAAAACACAAGTTTTTACCTGAATACTTAACTTTATTAGTCTCTCTTAGAACACTGTACAAAGGAGTAATAAAAATATTCACACTTTATTTTAGAAAGTTCTCTACTTGAGACTCCTGTATCCACAGCAAAAAGAAGGGCTACTGGGAAAAAAAAAAAAAAGAAAAACAACCCTAAAACTTTGTACAGAACATTCCTTTAAAAAACCCTCCCAATTAATTCAGCTCATTAAACCCATCCAGGGAGGATACAGATACACCAACACTCGCATGCTTAAAAGCTATTATAGGCAATGATAGAGCAACATAAGTTACAATGAAGAATATTAATGTGTTAACCCACTGCTGTCCCCTCCTCGAGGGCCAGTACCGAGCTTCTAAAAACAACCCAAAATTCAAACATAAAAATTACTCGGGAACGATGTAGCCCTAAATCTTGGTTATTTTAAAGGCTTTTTCCTGCGAAGGTCTGGACTCTTTGCCACCCTGGTAGCTCTGTTAAATGAATCCCAAGACAGGATCCCTAATTCTTGGAGCATCAGGCTGGGAGGACTTGCTGGTTTTCCCACTGTCCTGGAGCAGGGACTGCTGTACCCTGCGGATACGTGCGTGGTGCTGACAGTGGCTTAGGAGGCTTTGCCCACTGCAAGGCTGCTGCCAGTTCCTGAGAAGGGTTCCAGGCTTTCAAAAGCTTTTCTCTTTCCTTGCAGAACCAAAGAGAAAAGCTGCTGAAGTACCTGCTGGCCAGGAATCGTTTCTCCATCGCAGGGCGGAGCCCACCTCGATCTCTCCAGGTAAGTTTTGTCCTGCTTATGACACAGGACAAGTTTCATAGGAAAATCCACCAGATCAGAATCCCATCTAAATGTGATCAGAATCTGTTTAAAATCAGCAATGGTCACTGATCTCCTCCATGCAGGTACCTGGGGAAAACTCCCCTTTAAAAGGAGTTCTGCTCACGTTTGGGTTCTCCACCTAAAATGTGGCTTCATCCCTGATCTGTCACCTCTAAGGACACGTCTGACAACCCCTCAGCCTGCCCATGCTGTCCTTTCACTTCAGACTCTCTCAGGTACCCCTAACAGTGGTGGTTTAATTACAATTAATTTATTGCTTTTCTATTTTTGATTAACCCTGATACCTACCCTTAAGTTGGGATCTTAAGGAAGATTCTACCAGGTTTGTAATTGTTCAAATACTTATTAATCGCATGTAGACACTTTACACGACATAATATAACAAGAAATCTTTCTTCAACTCACTTCTTTCCATATTTCCATTTATGTTTCCCTTGATTGGACTAAGTGAGTCCAAGTTAACTGCACTTATTCCATGGTAAAATGATGCCTGTGTTGTAAAGAGTGTCACTGTCACATAACCCCTGGGTAGGCTGTTTTTAATCATTCGTGTGAAGGAGAGAAATCACAAAACTTTACTTTTGCTGTTAGGCAAAGCCTTAATCATAAATTTCGGACTTCAGGCTTTAAAACCTGCTTGTTTGAGAAGTTCATAACCCAATTCTGGTTCACAGCTATATTTAATTTAACAAAACAAGAGTCAGATGTCCTTAGTGTCAGTGACCAGCACCGAGTGCTCAGGCCCTCAGCTCTTGCAGTGCCTTCAGGGAAGGCTGTGGGAATTGCTGGATCTCATCAGGAAGATGCTGATCCCTTTCAATTTAGAATTATTCTAAAATGATCAAACCTGCCTTAAAAAAAAACCCCAAACATTTCTTCCCTTGTCATCTACCAAAACAATTCATTCTCTTCCCTCTGGAGATGGAAGTGGTGCCTGGGCAGACACTGGGGGTCTGTTCAGCACCACACAGTGTTTTGGGTCCAGCCTCAGCCACCCCTGCCAGGACCTGCCCCCTGCAGGGATCCTGCTCATTTCTGTGCCATTTCCAAGCTGATTGATGCAATATCTCTATTTTGATAACAATTATCATTGTCTAGTAGCTTAAAGAGCCGATTAGGGTAGAGAGTACCTTAACTAAAGCAGCAGTCCTCATGTCCTGGGGGTTACATTTAAGGTTTCACCTCCCCATCAGGGAAATTGCACGTCTGTCAACGCCCTGGGGTCTCCAGCCAGACTCTTTTTTTCTTTCTACCTTCTTGAAAACGTCCTTTTCACTTCTATTTCCACTTTTCAAACATATTAGGGAGTCATTCTCCCTGCATTCCAGCAGCCCTCTCAGGCACACTGAATGTTTTCCCTTCCCCATGGCAGTCCCATAGGAAGTCTGAGGGAGAGAAGTGAAGCAGATTCCCTAAAATTATGCACAGATTTTAGGTGCAAACCTGAAATTCCCCAATCCATGTCCTATGCTCAGACCATCCAACAACTCAGCACTCTCCACCGTGGCCTCTAAAGCTGGAATTGCTACTGCAGGAACAAAAATAGCAGATTTAAAAGGTTTCATCCCATTGTCAGAAAGGTAACACAATATAAGCACTAAGACAACAGAAACACAGGTTTTCATGGGGTCTCAGGGGAAGCGTGAGGGGAAACATCCCACCTGGAACACAACCCAAAAGAAAATGGGATTATTTTGAACAGGAAAAAGCTGTCTCAGCCACCTGTTTGAGGTGGTAATTTGAGGGAAAAGGCTCGATTTTGTTCCTCTGTGAAATAATCTGTTATCAGTGACCCACTGAATCCCTCTGCTGGTCAATTCATCTGCTGCTGCTGCTGCTGCTGCTGCCTCACGCAGCCCTTGGGGGTGGAGCTGAGGGGACAGACTTCCAGGTAAGCCAGAAATCCAACCCTCGCTTCCCTCGAGTCCATGGACAACTGGAGAACTGGCAAATCCCAGCCACAAGGACTTAACCACGGAGCTGGACTGAGGAGAAAAATTCCAATTAAAGTCAAGGATGGCTGTGTGCTTGCTTAGAGCAATCAGCCCTCCACCTCATTTGGCCTATACCTGTCCAGTGGGAGCCTCTCCCACACCTCTCCATGTCCATGTCCCTGTCCCAAGGAGCTCAGTGGCATTTGTTGTCAATCATTAAATCATCCACCCCCAGCCCTTGATCCAAATGCCCCCTGAGACCCCCTGTGCTTCAAAACCAGCAGTGAGGGTGGGGAAAGGAGTTACCAGGACAGATTTGGGTATAAACTGAAAATAAGAAGCATGATTTGGGATCTATCCACCTTTTCCCTGGACCACATGGATGGTGCTGTAGGAAAGCAGAAGCTTTGTCAAACTGCAGGTTGTTTTTAGGAAAGGAACTTCCCTTCTCAGTGATGTCAAAGACTGCAAAATAAAAGTCTGTCATTCTCTTCTCCCTCCCACTCCCCCCTGCCTAGAACTTCAACTCAGACCCCAAAACAATCCAGCCCTGGGGAAGTCTGACTGTATCCCTTTGGATTTCCCCCACGTACTGCTCAAAGCACCACCCAGCTTCAGGAAGGGAAAGGTATTTTAAAGTGCATTTACCACAGCAATAGTACCAGCACTAAAAGCTTTTCCCCTCACCCCTGTCCTTGTTCATTCCATGTCTGGGACAGATGAGACTCCTCCCAGAATCCGTCCTCGTTGTACCTCCAGGTCTCAGTGGTTCTGCATCTATTGGTGACACCGGGATAAGAGAAATCTGGTGTCGCGTGTCCTGCTCCGCACTAAACTCTACTCTGGAGCTGGTTTGGATTTATTGGGCACGAGGATCCAGCATGCGGAATGTGTCTGTTGGGACCTGCGTTGGAACAGCCGCTCCGAAATCACATCCCAGTCCGTGCAGAGGGAGCAAACAGGGCTGGGGAGAAGGAATTCCCCCTTGCCCCGCTCCTCCGCCGCCCGCTCCAGCCACGCCGCTCAGTACTTGTTGATCCCAAAGATCCGGACTCCGTGGAACTGAGGCAGTTTGGGGATCAGCACGCTCATGAGGGAGATGGTGTTGATGATGAAGTGTATCCGGTCGTACTTGGTGTAAAAGCTGGTTAGAAAATACCTGGAAAAGAAGGGTGGGAACAGAGAAGGAGAGGTCAAACTGAGCTGCGGCGTTCCACGTGTCTGTGTCCCAGGACAGAACACCGGTGGGTACTGGGACACGAGGCCGCTGGGCCACCCTGGAATACTCACAGGACGATGGGCATGATGGTGAGGAACTTGCGGGAGGCGGTGAACTGGACTCCGTAATCCATCTGCTCCCAGTGCGTGAGCAGCCGGGCCTTGCCCTGGTCCGGGGTCTCGAAGGGGGTTCCCTTCACGGTGTGCAGGAAGATGTACATGCTCTGCAGGACACACAGCATGAGGAGGGCTCTGTATCCCAGAATCCCAGCCAGAGGAGCGCACTTGGAGCGTGCAGCCCCGCGCCGTTCCACTAGAGGGATGTGGCACTGCTGGAAAACCGGGAAGTGGCCATGGAAGCCGGGGAAGGAGAGCCGGGAGAGGCCGGGGCAGCTCGGCTGCTCCACGTGAGGCCTCTCGCTGGGCTGCTGGGTGTGAGCCAAGGAGGTGGTGGCGAGATTACAGCCCTGGGATCTCTGGGATCGGGAGATTAGCGCCCGCCTGCCGCGGCGCGGCAGGAACCTCCGGAAAACGTGCTGGGAGAGGGTCTGTCACCCCCCGATTACCAGGGGAACACAAGTCACAGACAAACAGTGTCTGGCTGCATCACAGCTCCTAAGGACACACACTCCTGGCACTTCAATTCCTTTTTGTTCCCACGACCTAAAGCTGCCAGAGAAGGGGGATGAGGAGCCGGCCGCTTGTCAGCCGAGCGCTGAGCAGCTCCAGTGTGGGGGTTTGTGGAGGTTTTATCCCCAGAGCAGCTCCAGTTTGGGGGTCTGGGGTTGGTTTTATCCCCCACCTAGGAATAACTCCAGCATGAGGGTCCCCAGTCCGTGTAGTTTTTGTCTCTGGGATATTCCTAGGCTGAGATGCTATTTAAAATTAAGGATACAGAATCAACTGCTGCATCTGTGAAGCGTTTTGTCCCCTGTGCCTGTGAGGACCTGCTTAGGGACCTGATCCTTAGAGAGAGGAATTGGTTCCTGGACTAACCTTTTACTTTAAGCAGAAAAACCTCTGAGGTTTAATCTTGTTTCCTTAACTCCGATGAGGCCAGTTCAGGTTTTACCAACCCAAGTAGTGTCTGGGGCCTGTCCCAGACTCCCCCGGGGACACAAAGAAGGACTTGCCCTGAAGGCAAATAAATCCCCCTCTGAGCAGCCTCACGAGGTGCTGCTGCCTCACCTGCACCTGGGCTGGATTTAAATCCATGACCCAGAGGCACCAGCACAGGCTGAGGGTTGCAGGTTGAGCAACTCCCCCCGGCACCTTTGGAAACACGAAGGAGCCGGAGCCGTTCCAGCAGGGATCTCCGCTCAGAGGCTCCCCGGGCCGCGCCGCCCCCCTTACCAGGTTGTGGATGATGTTGGTGAGGGTCCAGACCACGGGCACGCTGAAGAAGGGGATGCTGAGCAGCACGACGTGCAGCAGCCCGATGCCCAGCACGTAGGACAGCCAGATGCCGCGGCTGTTCATGACACGCGTGTTGGGGTTCACCTCGCTGTGCGCCGTCCCCACGTTCATCCTGCCCTCGTGTGCCACGGGAGCCCCTGCAAACACAACACACACACACAGAGCGAGGTCAGAGCACGGCCCCAAAGCTCTCTGAGCAGTGGCTGCTTGTCAGGCAAACCCCAAATCTGCCGCCTGCTATAAAAATCCCAAAGCAGCTCACTCCTCTGCCCCTCGCCGCTGCCGCTCCCAGAGCTGACGTCGCTGCTACCGAATCCGGGAGTGGTTCAGATTTGGGAATAATGTGTGGGAAGCCTGGCTGTGACAGAAGCTACTTGTGATTTGAGACGTTTTCCCACAGCCAAGGTGTCGAGGTTCGATCCCACGTTTGCCTGACAGAGACTCAAACCAGTATTTTAAAGCGCTTCTAAATCCTCATCACGGTGTTAATCATGGAAACACGCGGCACAGGAAGCTTCCTGCCTGTTTATGGAGTCAGCAGGGCCTTAAACTTGGGGAGGGAACACGGTTATTTGCTGAGGAAAGGCTCTGTATCAACAGATCTCCTAATTAATTTAACTAAATTAACAGGGTTCTGCACAGCCCCGGAGGTTTGCTGGACTCCTGCTCTGCCTCACTTGCTTTGCCTTTGGATTTAAGACTTACAGAGAGGGGAAGAAAGAGGAACAAAACAATTTCCCCCCAGGGAAGGAATGAGATTCTTCTGGAGGAATGTAAAAAGGGAGAGATAACAGGGCAAAGTGCCTTGGGAGGATATTTCAGGAGGAAGAGCTGTGGAGGAGATGGCTCTTCCCCTACCTGGAAAGAACAGCTGCAATGTAGGAGGAGCACAGAGATGGTTTTCTGGACAATGCCAGGAAGGAGAGGAAGCAAGAGAGTGTCACCCTCTTGGAGCAAGTCCTTGGAGTGGTGTCCCACAGACAGTGAAGGTATTGAGTGGGCTTTTGGACTGACAGTGCCAATGGCAGCAGGTATCCATCAGCTCCCAGGCCGGCTGGGAGCAGCACAGCTCTGGTTTACTGGTTTCCAGGGATTACAGGGAACAGCACAAACTAAACCCGCTGTAAAGCTGAAAGTCTTCACACTGAGATCAGGGAAATTCTCGTGTAAAATCATCTCTGTGTGTCCCATGGAAGTGGAGTTTGATGGGATGATCCCTCCTTGGCTCCGGGACCCCACGGCGAGGGTCGTTTCCTGCTGTCGTGCCTCGTGGCTCTGCCGTTGGTTCCCACAGCTGGAGGTTGTGTTGCTGCTCCCTCTGGCTCTCTGGGGCTGAGCTCGAGCCAGCTCCAACATCACGCTCCCCTCACTGCCAGCTGTTCCCAGCTCCCTCCTGGAGCACCAGGCCTGGCTTGTCTCAGGAGCTGGCCCAGGGCTGGGGCTCAGAGCCAAGCTCCACTCCACAGCTCCTGGGATGCTCCACGCAACTTCCAAACCTCCTCCAAGCGTACAGGCGGCCGTTGCTGCAGATCCTCACGTCCCTCTGTGAGGGGGCTCATACCTGGGGAAGGATTTTGTTTCCAGGGAAGAGGCTGCAGCTCTGCAGGGTGCTCGTTTCCTTCTGCTCATCTCCTGGAAAACTGGCTTGGGGATGTTCCTGACAACAGCCCAAAGTGTGGGCTGGAAGCAAGACTGGGAGCCAGAGCTCAGCACTTCACCCCTGGCTCGGGGAACAGCTCCAGCCTGAACCTGCTGCAATTCCCAAGGGCTCTCAGAAGGAAAACTGGGTGCTGTGGTGAAGCATAAATGAGTCAAAAAGACTCAGATTGTTGCAACAACAACGAAAAGCAAAACACCCCGTGGAATGTGTAAACAGGAGTGCTGAGTGCCAGACATGGGAAACAGTTCTCCTGGATGTTGGGAGAACACTGTCCAGTCCTGGGAGGAGCTGGAGAGCATCCAGAAAGAGCAGAGAGAACAAGCAGAGGTGTAGGAAAAACATGACCTGCAAGGACAGCTGGAAGGAAACGGGTTTGTTTAGTCTGGAGGAGGCTGGAGAGAGGCGTGAGGAACAGTCCGACTCTCCACAAAGAGCTGTGCCTGTGGGATTCCAGCTGTGCCTGTGGGATTCCAGCTGTGCAGCAGCAGGAACCACAGCCACACTGCTGGGGCCTGGAGTGACATGGAGGTGCAGGAGGAGGGACGCTGGAGGGGACTGCCCATGAAAAGGGTTCTGTGCTCTCAATGGAGGCCTTAAAATCTACTTCCATCCAGGGTTAAGAACCTCAGATTCCTCTTTGGTTGCCCAGGAGGCCTCTCCAGGAGCCTCTCCTGAAGTGATGCCTTTATTTCCAACCATTAGTGTAACTTCCAAAAACTAAGGACCAAATTGGACTTGGTCCCTTCTGCCAACGAGGGCAGTTGCAGACCCACAGTGGGGTGGGAAGGGCCCAACTTGGAAGCTGTATGTGAACAATTCCTCTCTTCCTGCCTCAGCTTCCCTTCCTTGTAAAATTAAGGAATACAGGGGTGGAATGCTGGAACACAGGAGAGGTGAACTCATCCTTGCAGGAGATAAGGAGATGCCAAGCATTCAGTGCTCCATGAGGGTGATTCCGTGTCTCCAACTCTGCCCTTCCCCACCTTAAAAGTTTGACCTGCAGATCTTTCCAGCTCTGCCCTGGGCTGTGCAGCCCTTGCCCCAGTTCTCCCAAATTTCGGATTGCACAAGCCTGGCTGAGGGCACATGAGCTCCCAGAGCTCCCTCCCTACCCCCATCCCTCATCCCATGTTTGCTTTCTGTTTCCACAGCAGGATTTGTTCACCTGCAGGAAAACAAGGCACAGCCCCCCATGGGAAGGACTCCAGCCCCTCCTTCCCGGAGCAGCTGCTGCCAGGCTCTGCTTTCCCACTCTTTTTTGGGACAGAAAAGCCTGACTGTTGCACCAGGCGGAGGGTGAAGGTCGGGGCTGTGCTGACATTGGACAGTGGCCATCCAAGGAGGGGAAAAGTCAGAGATGTGGCCGGTGGCAAAGGGCACAGTGCGATGCCAGAGCCGAGCCCTCCCTCTGCTCCATCTTTCCCGTGTCCTGCTCCCTGTCCAGGTGCAGCCCCTTCCCCACCTTTGCCCCCAGAGGAGTGTGACCACCGTATGTTCCCATTCCCTTGCTTAACACTCAGACTTAATGACCTCAAAGGCCCTTTCCAGCCTAAATAAACGATCCTATGGCTCGGCAGGGCTGTCACCCTTCCCCAGGGATTGCAGGATCACGCTCCGATCCTGGCACTCCACTGCAGGGCCTTCACCTGGGCTGGAGAGGGAAGGAGGGCTCAGCTCTTGATCTCCCCAGTGTTCCCAGGCTGCTGGTGGGGATGATCCCACGGATCAGATCCCGATCTCTGGCAGCAACAGCAATCCCCATCTCCCCAGCAAATCCTTTAAACCCTTCTTTGCTGATGGCATCGGAGTTTGAACCAGAGGGCACTGGTGAACCGGGCTGCGCTGGGAGGCAGCTGCTGACTGGGACTGGGAACACAACGCCCCGGAGCCGTGTTGGCCACGTCTGAGCCCCAGCGCTGCCCGGAGCCTCCTCGGGCTCCCGGGGCTGGCAGAGCCCGGGGCGGGGGGACACACGGGGGACACGGGGACGAGGACACGGATGAGCCGCCCCGTCTCAGCCTGTTCTGGATTTAACGGGGAATCCCGGACCCGCAGGGAAGGCCGAGGCTGGGCTCCTCCGGGTCCCGGACTCCTCTTCCCTCCCCGTTTCCCCGGGCCGGGCCGGTGCCTCGGGGGGGCTGCGGCAGGACCCGCTCCGGGCCGGGCTGCGCACAGCGCGACCCCCGCCGTGGGGACCCCCCACTCTCCCAGCCCGCCGCGTCCCAGCTCCCTCCCAGCACCCGCTTCTCTCTTTCGGGGTGTTTTCCTCTCGGGCCGGGCCCACGCGAGGCACTTCCCCACGGCCCCGCCGCGGGGCTCGGCCCCCCCCCACGGCCCGCAGGGAGGGCTGAGCCCCCGGCCCGCACTCACCGCTCCCGCACGGCCCGGCCCGGCTCGGCTCGGCGGGGCCGGCGCTCGCTCCGCCGCTCTCCCGCTGCGCTCCCGGTGCGCTCCCGGCGGCCCCTCGGCCCGCCCCGCCGCGGCACGCCGGGAGCTGTAGTCCGGCAGCGCCGGCAGAGGCGGGGCCGCCGCGGGAACCGGCACCGGGAGAGCGGCTGGAGGGGCCGCACCGCACGTGGAGCCCCGGACCCGGCTGGGTGCCCGGGCAGGGTGGGCAAACACCCCCTCAAACAAAGGGTAGGGGGGCACTGGAGCAGCTTCCCCCGGACACGCTGGAGCAGCTGTGGCTGCCCCATCCCTGGGAGTGCTGAAGGCCGGGTTGGACGAGGCTTGGAGCTACCTGGGATGGTGGAAGGTGTCCCTGCCCATGGCAGGGGGTTGGAACTCGATGATCTTTAAGGTCCTTTCCCACCCAAACCGCTCTGATTCCATGACTCCATGAAAATCCCGGCAGCGATGCGGTGCAGGCCGGCAGCGCTGCGGGACACCCGGCCAAGGTCGGGGCTGGGAGCGAGCGCAGGATTCCAGCGCTGGAGTGCCGGGGGGAGACCATCTGGCCCAGCTTTTGTTTGCACAACCATCAGAGCTCGTCGCGTGGGGCTGGCAGGGCCCGCTGGGGCCGCAGCCATCTGTGCAGGGCTCTGTGTGTGCCCGCTGGCTCGACCAGCGCTGGGGCCACTGCGGGCTGCAAAACCCCTGCCCAGAGCCACGCTGGGGTCCCAGGCCGAGCCCCTGAGCTGAGCCCTGGCATTGGTGGCTGCCCACCCTGCACATGTGGCTCTGCTGGTGCCACTCAGAGCCCCCCAAGCCGCACAGCCAGCTCTTGGCATGGCGAGGGCACAGAGACCCTGCCAGCTGCCAGGGCCGGGGCTGCCGGGGTGTCACACGCTGGCACCGCGCTGCCGGCAGGGCACGGGGTCATTTCCCAGAGCCAGGGCTTGGCAGCGTCTGCTTCCAGAGGCCTTTGGGCACGGAGGGACACACGCACGTGGGTAAAGCAGATGAAGGGCCACTGGTGGGTGTGGTGGCTGCCACCCTGGAGAGGCCCGTCCCTGCCCGGCGGCTCCGGGGTGTCCTCGTGGCAGGGCACGGTGCGGGGATGCCGCCGTGCGGAGGCGGGGGATCCCACGGGATCCGGCCCTGCTTTGCAGGAGATCCACGCACGCACAGCAGGCTCTATTTTTATCCCGCTCCTGCCTGACTGAGCAGCTCCCTGCGCGGTGACATCTAATTTAGCAGCTTCCCCACACCCCGCTGGCTCCGCACGTGAGGGGGAAGCACAATGCAGCAGCTATTTTTAAACGCCCATAAATATTCATCCCTCTCCGTGATGCAGCAGCCGCTGCTGCCGGTGTGAGCGCAGGGGGGACCCGCTCCCCGGGCTCCCCACACCACGTCCACCTGCCCAGGGAACGCCGGCACCGGGGGCAGGGGGTTCCTGGGGGAATCCGATCCCACCTGCTCACTGGCAGCAGCACCCACGTTCCCCCCGTGCTCAGGGGGGCTGTTCCCGCGTGGATTCCCAGGCCTTGCTCGCTCACTCCCGGTGCTGGGCCATGCTCAGCTCCCGCTCTCCCGGCTGCCGGTCCCGCTGCCCGGTCGATGCTGGTTATATTTAGCTCCGTGGTGGCAGCGAGGAGCTGGTTCTGGCTATTTTTAGCCATCCTGCAGTGGGGAGGGTCCGTGTGGGTCGTGCTGCACTGCAGGGTTTGGGCTGGTGGGTGCCGTGTCCTCCACGTGGGACTCCTCCACGTGGAGCTGCTCCTGCTCCCGGGTGTGACCTGCAGCTGGAGTCACCCACCCTCTTCTGGGTCCCACCTCAAGCCCCCCAACCCCTGCCTGTCCCCTCAGCCCTGTCCCATAGCCGTGTCTGTTCACCGGAGCTGGCCCTGTGCTGCCACATCCCAGCACGGCTCCTGGTGGCACTGGGAATGGTGACAGGCAGCACAGGGCTGCTCTGCTCCCCAGTGGAACGGGGAGATGCCAGTGAAGTGCCTGAGAGCACCGACCGTGGCTGCCGACTGCTGCCTGCCAGGCTCCAGCAGTGTCCTGGGACAACCCTGCCCGGCAAACCCAGCATCGCTCCAGCGTTGGGTTTGGCTCCAGTCATGGAATCATCAAAACGACTTCCAAGATCATCGACTCCAACCACTAACCCGGCACTGTCACCTTCACCACTAACCCGTGTCCTCAGGTGCCACATCCACACATTTTCTGAACGCTTCCAGGGTCGCAGCCCCCGCGATGGCCCCGGCGGAGCGCGGTGCGCTCTGGGGACCATCTGCCCGCGGCCGTGTCTGGCTGCCGTCAGGTTCCCTTCCCCTAATTGAGCCGAGATCCAGGCCAGGCGCCTCCTAACCGGTTTATCCTCCCGAAGCAGCGGGAGAACGTCAGTGCTCGGGGCCGGGGCAGCGGCAGCCGCGTCCCGGCCGGCGGCCCCGGGGCCCGGTAACGGCGGCCGCTCTCCATGGTCCTGAGCCGGCCCCGCCGGTGCCCCGGGGCGGCGGGACCACGAGCCCCGGCCCAGCCCAGCGAGCCCCGGCCCGGGCAGCCCAGGGCCGGCCTGGGGACCCGCTCCGGCCCCCCCGGCTCCCGCCCCACCCGGTGCCGCCCCGCAGGTCGGGTTTCCCCGAGTAAGCGATGCCGGTGCCGGGAGGTGGGGGGGGCACCGTGACCCCGCCGGGGTTGGAGTGGGGGGGTCCTGCTCCCTCCGAGGAGCTGGGGAGGGGGCGGGAAGGTCCCGGGGGCAGCGAGGGCAGAGCCTGGGAGCGCCGAACGCCCGGGGGGTGGCCGATCGGGGTCGAGAGGTGTCCCACTGGAGTTTGCAGGGACGCGGCAGGGCGGGGGGCGTGGAACACCCCGAGAACCTCTGACACCGGCTGCCCGGCATCGGGGGTCCCGGCAGCTCCTCACCGGGTCTCCCGGTGTGTTCCCCGCCCCTCCCGGTCTAAGGACCCGGGGCAGCGCTTCTCCCGCGGGGCGAGGAGCTGTGAAGGCTCCGGGCTCGGGGGTGCTCGGCGCTGCACGGCCCCCCCGGCGGGGCGGGCCGGGGGCGGGGAGCCCCGGGGAGGCCCGGGCAGAGGATCCCGCCCACCGGCCCCGCCGCCGCCGCCGGCTCCGGGCCCGCCGCGCTGCGCGGGGCGCGGCCGCTCCGGCCCGGGGCGCGGGGCCGCTCCGCCGCCGGGGCTGCACAGGCAGGTGAGTCCGCACCGGGACCCCCGGCGGGGCGGGAGGCGGCGCGGAGGGGCGGCAGCGCCGCGCCGAACGGAGCTTCCCCCGGGGAAGCACCAGGGCTTCCCTCGCCCGCGACGCCCCCGGGCCGGGGATCCCCGGGCATCCCCAGGCGCACGGCGAGTCCCGGAGCCAGCACCGCCCCCGGTACCTCACCCGCCCTTCCCGGGGCTGGCGACGACCCCATTCCCCACACCCTGCTGGGGACCCCCACGCCCTGCTGCGGGCTGGGGACCTCGCTGTGGGGCAGGGGCTGGCAGCGCCCGTCCGCGCTGCGGTGCCTGGTTCGCATCCCACCCGCGGGGTGTGCCTGTCCCGTGGAGGAAGCAGCTCCATCCCGGGCACCAGGTCGCGGCTCAGTCCGGCGGTTCCCGGGCAGCGGGACGGGGGTCCCGGGGGGCTGCACTTGTCCCGTGTTTGCCTCCGGCAGAGCTGGGGGGCTGGTGCAGTGTGGAGCTGTGGGGTCCCGCTGCCCCTGGGGTTCTCTGAGCGCTGGTGCCCGCTCAGGACCCCCGCGGGTCCGTCAGCGCAGGGGTCGGCTCTGCACAGATGTGACCTTGGGGTGTTTCGGCTCGGCCGAGCTGGGTGACAGTGCCCAGAGCTCGGGGTGCTGTGCTTTGGGGGCCACCCTGGGGTGGGCACCTCTACCCGGCACCAGGGAGACCCAGCCAACACCCCGAGACGGGTTTGCCGGCGTTGGGGTGCTCCGGGGAGCGGGGGAGGTGGGACCTGCAGCAGCTTTGCCCAGGAGGTGCCTGGTGGCACAGCACGGGGCTCCCGCAGCACTGAGCTGCCTGAGCGGGTGCCACAGGCGGTGTCTTTGACTGTGGGATGGCGGGAGAGCACCTGGATCCTCCCTCCGGGGCTCCACCGGCACAGGGACGGGCTGGGGCCCCTGGACGTGGTGGGAGCCAGGGCTGGGAGAACCGGGCAGCACTCGGAGCCCTCGGACACGGCCCTTATCTGCTGCCACCACCCTGGGAACTCACTGCACGCTCAGCTCCAGTGAATTTCCTTTTTCTGTTTTTGTTTCTTTCCTGCTGACGTTTTTCCCCTCCGGAATCAGGGGCTGCGTGGGGCCCACGGTTACGGAGTGGTGTGGGCAGCCCGACCCCGCGGCAGCGGGAAGGGGAGAGGGGCACCCAGCACCCACCCGTGCCAGTCCCCTCGAAAGGAGAGAACCCGGAGCGTGTCCTCCCGTGCCCGGGCGGTGCCGGGGACAGAGCCGGGAGCGGGAACCTGCTGAGCCGCTGCCCGCACATGTTTTCCACGGCGTTCCCCGGAGGCTGCCGGCAGCGGCCGCTCGCCCGGAGCCAGGGCTCTCTCTGGTTCGTCCTCCGGCCGCCGCAGGATGGATCGGCCTCCTGCGAGCAGCGATCGCAGCGCCGTGACCTTGGCAGGGCGGGAGCTCATCCCCGCCTCTGGCTTAGCCCGAGCGTCTCCGGTTGTTACAGCCCAGCTGCCGGCGCAGGAGACGTGCTCAGCCCCTGGGGCCTGATCCTGCCTCGCGGGAGCCCCGAGCGAGGTGCTGGCCGGGGATGAGGGGATGTGTGAGCCGTGGCGGCTGTCCCAGTCCCCATCCCCGTCCCGGTCCCCTGGCCAGGCTCAGGTGCAGTAACCACAGCCAGCACAGGGATGGTTCTACCCCCATCCCCCCTGGCCTGACGCTGTCCCGTTGCTGTCCCCTCTCAGATGTGCCGAGTCCCCCGAGGATGTGAGGAAGGTAAAGGTAGCACAGGACGATGCCTACGGCACAGCGGGTCCTCCTCCTCCCGGTCACTATGGGGCTGCTCCTGCAGAGCCTCCTCCTCCTCCTCCTCCTCCTCCTGG